CTCACCTTCTAGCCTTCATTTTTCCTGTCTCAGAGTTGGGATTCTGAGAAGCTGGACCACCAGGCTGAATTCGAGCTTAGTTCTCACCAAGTCAGCAGCACCTGCTGCCGTAAACTCCAGCTGCCTGGGCCTTCTCCTGTGCTCTGAGGGCTTAAGGAACCAGGCAGAGAAACCATCCCCAGAGGACCCTGCAAGCACAACTTGAAAGCGAAACCAGAGTCCTGCTTCATTCCTGCTTCCCTCAGGATCAGCGCAAATCTTCCAGCCTTCATGGTCCACACTAGGGAAGGTGCCAGAAGCCGGGGGGAGGGCAAAGCCACTCTGGCCAGGATTAACAGTCAGCCCCATTGATGGAGGAAGCCACTGCCCAGACAGACCCGCAGCCCTTGTGGACAGTTTCCTGCTCCTTGGATTCTCAAGACCAACCACAGCTTGGACCCCATGCCTCGCCAGAGTCCCCAGACGCTGCCCCTGCCTTGCCGTGTGGATTGCAGCAGACCATACGTGGTCCGTACGAGATGACCTCCTGGCGCCCACCTGCCCGTCCCGCCACTCCACTAGTCCAGCTCAGTGCCCACTCCACTCCGCACCAGCAACGTTGCTGCCAGCGACAAACACTACTGAGCATCAAGTGTCAGAACAACTTCCCCCACATGAACTCCACCTGCCCACACGGCTGGGGGCGCGGCACAGGAGCAGAGTGAGTGGTAAAAGGATACCCCAGCAGTTGTTGCCAAAAGACCAAGTAAGAAGACTACAGGTGGGCATGCAAGGGAAAACAAGCCACAAAGCAGCCTTTCTTAACCTGCAGTCAACGACGCACCGGTACTGTGCAGTGTTCACAGGCGTTTCCACCCCAAAAGCGCGGTCAGCTAAGTTTGGAAACTGCTGCTGCCAGAGATTCACACCTTAGCAAATTAAAGGCTCTGAGAAGGCCTGCAGTAAAGAAGGCTGTTTGTTTCCTTCTTTGGCCCAGCATTTCCTGAACCGTTTAACTACCCCCGTCCTCTGGAATGCCTATTAATGTCTCCCAAAACCAATGTTCACCAGAACACTGACTGATGCAGTAACATGCTGAGGGTCACTGCTACTTCTCTGGCTCTGGGATCAAACAAGCAGTGTTAAATCCCCACTCTAGCATTTTTTAGTGGTATGGCCTTGGGCACGTCACTAAATCTCTTTGTGCTTTAATTTTCTCATCTGTAGGATGGGGGTGATCATGGCACCTGCTTCCTAAAGTGGTTGTCACTTTAAATAAGCTAATGCATGTTCAATGCTCAGAACCAAACAAATGTTAGCGGTGATGACGACGACGATGAAGAAGATGATGACGATGATGATAATTACAACCCTGCAGTGGAACGCTTTCCACAGCTTACAAGTATGCTTCTCCCAGGGGCCGGGATTCTGATTAAAATCATCTGCGGTTCTCCAGCATCCAGCACAGGGCCTGGGTGCTCCAGAATGCTGAATGCCTAAACAAACGGAAACGAGACGTACAGCATAATGAGACACGAAAAGCAACAAATTCTTTGGACAGTGGCTACAGCTGAAAAGTAAAGCAGAATTCCCTCCAAGGAACAGACCCCTGTCTGTCTACCCTAACCTGCATACAGACCTCTAATGACCACCTGGAGGGCGGGACAGGACACACGTATCTCACACACACTGTCCCGTGAGCGAGAATCATACACTGGCACCTTGTTTTTTTTCTTCAGAGCCAATTTACTGATCTGCCAGGTGGCCTGGGATAAGGTCAAGGGTGGTTAACTGAACCATTCTGATCCTTGGTCTTGGGGAAAATGAATGAGAGACTTACAGAGAGGGTCAGCAGCTGGAGTGAGGGAGAGAGACAGAGAGAGGGAGACAGAAAGAGCCAAAAGCAGAAGTGGTCAGTCAGCGCAGGTGCTGAGCAAACCCAGAGGCAGGAGGCTTCACGGAACTGCTGTCGTGCGAAAGCTCCAAGCCATAATACAGCCACAAATCTCGAAGTCTCCCCTTATTGCACCAACTCTCGCTTCCTCCCCAGCACTGTATATCCTCCTGTGCTTTTTTATTCTTCTGTGTACACAGCTATGCATTTACACACGCATCCCGCATACGCCCATATTTTATGTACATGGTGATAAAGCTCACTTGTAGCCCCTGCATCCCTAGTCAGCCTGGGCTTAGGCCTGCCTGGGGACCAAATGAGGGAGCCCCGCCCAGTGTGAGGGGCTGAGCAAGCAGGAGGAAGCTAAGGGCAGCCTTGGGGAGCTGCCAGTGTGCCGTGCGTGGGAAGTCAGACAGCACCTCTCCTCCAGCACAGCCTGCCCGTGGCTCCCCATTGTCTCTCCAAAGCCAATGTCCTCACAGCTCCAAGACTGCCACAGTGTGGCCCTCGTCCACTCGGCTACCCGGCTAGCCCACCTCCCTCCACACACACCCCTCACCACCATTCACTCAGCTCCCTTCATCCTGGCCTCCTTTCTCTCCCTAGAACGTTCCAGACACTTCCTCAACTTTGAGATTTTGCACTGGCTGTTCCTCTGCCTGGGACACTTCTCCACCAAGCGGCCACCTCCCCTCCTCCAGGTCTGTGCTCCAGCCCTGCCTCCCCAGTGAGGTCTCCCTCAGGTCCTACTGCAACATGCTAGCCCAACCCACAGGGCGAGCCGGAGCCCTGACCCAGCCTTTCCCCTTTCCACAGCGCTGGGCGTCTTTCAACAGACGAGACTGAGACTGCTGGCTCATCTGTTAGGTTCACTGTGTACCGCCTGCACCCCACAAGGGTGGCGTCGGAGCTCTTCTGATCGCCAGTGCGTCTCAAGTGCCTACAACACACTCTTGACTGAACGGGCACTGGGTAAAAACTACGTGAATGGACACGTGGATGGACGGGCTCCGGGCAAGAAGTGACGAGTTACAGCCTAGGGGAGACAGGGTTTCCCGCAGGCACCAAAGGGAGGGGCTCGAGGGATCTCATCCGGACACGAAAGACAGATGCAGGGAGCTGGGTCACGGAGAGGGGCTCCAGAGAGTGATGCTCCCCGAACCACTAACGGCGATATTCTCTGGGGCTGGGATCATGAGTGACTTGCATTTTATGTTTTATATGTTTTCTATTTTATATACATATAAAATAAATCTAAGTATAAATATAAATATTTGTTGTTAGCACCGTCAAGTGGCTTCTGACTCCTAGCGCCCCTGTGGACAGCAGAGCGGAGCCCTGCCCGGTCTTTTTGCACCATCCTCTCTCCTTCCAGTGCTGTAACAGACAACGCCCCGCTGCTATCCATACTTCACGGCCAAGTTTATTGGAAGTGGGTGCCAGGTCCTTCTTCCTGGTCTGTCTTAGTCTGGAAGTTCCACTGAAACCTGTCCACCACGGGGGACGCTGCTGGTATTTGAAACACCGGTGGCATCGCTTTCAGCATCACGGCAAGAGGCAGCAGCCACACTAGGACAACTGACAGACGGGTAGTGTGGTTCCCTGAACGGGAAACGAACTCGCACCACAGTGGTGAGAATGCCCAATCTTAACCACTAGACCACCAGGGCTGCCTATAAATATATATAATAATATATAACAAAGACTATAAATATTACATTTTTTGTATTTTATATATTATATTTAAATGTAATATATTTATAAATTTATGTTATATATTGTTTGAATTTTTATAATGTGCCTACATATAACTTTTGTAATATTAAATTGAAAAAGTAAACTGAATGAATGTACACAGCAACACATTCCATGCTAGAGAGGAGACCCCAGCCCCTGAGATCTGAGCCCTGGGTCAGAGAGAGGTCACCATGAACATCAGGGGGGACAACAGGTCCTTGTGTGCAACTGCAGGACCCTGAATGCCTGACTTTGGGGCCTGAGCCCCAATCTTAACTAGTCTCCTCTCCTTGGGAAAGTCTTATACACACACATGCACACGCACACTACTCCAGGGATGAGAGTGACCCAGGCCTGGTCAGACAGAGCATCATAAATTTGTTCAGGTGGGCATGTGACCCAATCAGAATTCATCTCAAGGCCCCTGCGGGAGGACTAAGAGCAAACTGCTCTCTTCCAGTGGAGTTAAGTCTGCCCAATGCTTCTGGCGGCCATCCTGTCACCATGAGGAGAGCACCAGCCCGAGGATGGAGCCAGCACAGAGGAAGGCAGAGCCAAGAAACACTGAGAGTCCCTGATGGGGACCATGTGACACCTGGATGAAGCCATGCCTGAAGCTAACATTACCCGTGTCCCGCTCAGTGTGATGAGCTGATTGTGTTAACTCAGTTTTCTTAGACCCAGTTAATACAGAGAGCCCTGAGATACAGACTCGGGTGTTTCCTGGACTCTTCCCCACGGGGAAGAAGTCTGCTCATGGGCTCTCAGAAAGAAACATGTGGTGTTTTGTGAACAGAAGACACTACTGGAGCAGACTGTGTCCCTGCTCCATCGAGACCACACCCCCACCCTAGTGCCTTTTGCTGTTTCTGGTACCCGTCCCCCACCTCCCCTGTGTTTTTGTTTCCAAAAGCCTGACCCTGCAAGAAGCGCATGGGAGTTGACCCTTCTCTGGGCAGCCCTGAGCCTATGGCTGAAGGTCACAGGGTTATGAGGGCCCAGCTCTCTTGCTCAGAACCAACTCTGAGAGGTAAGTCACCCCCAGAGTCCCCTGCAGGATGAGGCTGAAGCTGCCCTCAGGGGCTCTGTCTAAAGTCACTCTCCAGCCTGGCTTCAAGTCCTGCTTCCCATCCCTTACTGCTTTCCCTTGAGAGCACACACTTCATAAACCAACAACACACAAATCCTCTGAGGGACCTAACTTAGACACCAGGGGCAAAACGGCCAGACCAGGGGAGTTCAGAGCACCCCCAAAGAGCAAGGGGCCAGGGCGCCTGGAGCTCATCTTTCCCCCAGCCCCAGGAGACGACATGCAGCCGCACAGAGCAGGGAGGGAGCTGCCCCTGGAATGCCCACCCCCGGGGTTGTCACACGGCAAAGGGAAACCAACCTGGCTCCCTGTCAGAGAAGAAGGACAGCACGGGTGACAAGCGACAGCCAGGCACACAGTCTCTCATCCCCACGCTGAGCCGTGGACTCGAGGCCAGCCTGCACAATGCACTTGGATCCCACTCCTCTTCAAGCCCTCCCTTGTCTCACCACACTGCCTCTGGAACGTTCAGTCACCAGTTCTACCCCCATGGTCCAGTGACCCGGATCTACTAGGCAGCTCTCCAGACCCATCTTGGATGGCCCCACAATGCCATGTGCCAGGACCACACAATGGGCACTCCAGCCTCCTCTCCTCCCGGGGGCACGCGCAGCCAGAACTGAATTTCTGCTTCTTTTGCTGTCACCACATAAGTGTTTACCCAGAACTCAAGGAAGACAAGCCTCTCTCCTCTTGGTGGTGGTCACAGCACAGGTGCCCCTCCTGACTCTGTGAGAGAATGACCACAAGGAGTGTGCAAACCTTGTCCCAGCCCTGAGTGGGCAATGCTGCTTTTGTCTTCGCAGGAGCCACTCCCCCTCCTACCAGTAAGAACCCGCTAGACCATGCCACTTTGAAAGGTCCAACGCTGAGCAGGTGGCCCAAGAAAATCAACACATAAAACCCCGGCCACAGTGATTGGTTGGGGCTGGGCCCTGACCACAGCCAGGCCAGTGAGACCTGATGGTCGACTCAGGAGATAGAGATGCTCTCTTTGCTGGCCGTGAAGCTGGAAGCACATAAGCCTGGAAATGCCAGGGGCCACCATGGGAGAGTTTGTTGGAGAACAAAGTCAGCGTATTCTCTGTTGGAGTGGAGATTTTGCTATTGTTTTTCTTTCGGTCTTCTGCTTAAGCCAGTTTGAATTGGGTTTTTCTGTCACTTGCAACCAAAAGCATGAAGACTAATAGGAACAGCAATGGATAAAGTACAAGAGAGAAAACTTCCGCTAGCCCCAGCCCATCACTAACTCATCACATGCTTTGGTCAAGGCCCTTAACATCTAAAAGGAAGTCAGCGGACGGTGACACACAGATCTCTGCCTGGCGCTGAGCTTTGCTCTGCCTTCACCTTCCTTTCCTCGGAATTCTTCAAAATCCAGTGCGAACCAGAGGAAGCCTGCCCTTCTCTGGAGACAGCCCCTGGGAATTCCTCCTGCCTTCAATTCCTGCAACACTTACCCGTGCCACTCACTGGTTCTTACGCCACCTTGGTACTTTCAGGTGAAGTCCATGCAACATGCTGTGTCCCCACAAAACTCCTAAGAAAAGCTAAGCGCATCACCATATCGCAGGCGCTGGGCTAAAGCTCCCCTATGACCCTCACGACCACCCTGCAGGAGGATGCTGATCGTCTCATTACCCCCGTCTTAAAGACGAGGAACAGAGGCTCAAAGAAGTAAGTCACTTGCCAGAGGTCACCCGGCCAGGTATGCTGGACAGGGATTCTTTGAGATGACGAACTTTGGGACCATACTCTGCTCCACAGACCTCAGCCTCAGCTCGTCACCTACCGATTCCTCCCAAACACGCTGCTGATGGATTCTCATCCACTCTGAGCAGATTTCAGGAAAGCACAGGCCAGGAACAGCCAAATGGCACTTGGTGCTGCCTCTCCAGGGAGCCCAGGTCTGCAGGTGGGGGCCAAGGGCCCTGCTGAGGGCTCCCCGCCCCAGTGCCGTCTGCTCTGCCCTGCTCCATCCCCTTTGCACAGAGCCCCATTCACCTCCTGGCTGGGAGGTGAGGCGGGTTCCCAGGGCATTCTGAGGCGGCTCTGGGAGCTGGGAGGGCGGCTGGCTAACAGACGACCCATTCTCCCCTGGAACAGAAGCAGGTCAGTCCCCATCAAGAGCTCGCTCTGTAAGTCCCTGACCAAAACAACCCATACTCGTTAGCTGAACCCTGAGCTGGGCCCAAACATTAATTTTTTACCAAACTATGAAACAAACCAAAGTGTTTTTTTCCAGAAAAAAAAAGTAGCAGACAAGTTTGAACCTGAGCTGAACCTGTATATTTTCTAAGACTACTGAACGGGAACAAAAATCAGACATCAAAATGTTCTGTGAACGAAACCAACATTCATCCAGTCCAAGCTCTTGATCTGAAAAGACATCCAGGAAGGACCATTGACCTCCCTGTGTGGCTCTGTGGGCTGCGTAACAGTGTTCAAAGGAACGGTGTGTCAAGAATGGAGGCTAGCTTTTTCAAATGCAGTAAAAAAAATGTTATTTTATTTTAACCCTCCATACAGATGAACCGGAAACTTTCAGAGCATTCAATTCCTCTTGTATTGACAAGAGCATTTCAAGGATTGATCGATTATAATAATACAGCCTAAAACATCAGCCGAGAGGACAGGGTCTGGGGTCCTGGTCCCAAGTGCCCAGGTGACCTTAGGCACATTACTCTGGGTCGTGGTCACAAACAGTCAAGGGCAAGTGTGGCTCTCGAACAGCCTGACTTGGCCCACCTGATGCTGGGCATGGGAGGTCCCCTCAAGCATGTCCCCTTTTAGAAGATGCACAGAAGCATCTGACCCCACATTTCGTGCCCCGGAGGAGAGTGCACTGGGCTAGCTGGACTGTCTGTTCTCATTCCACCCCACCCTCTGGACTAGCTGCTTGCAGGGTCCCAGAGCAGGAACCCAGAGGCCTATCTGCTGAAGGCCCCCCAGCCATAAACACACACCAGCCATCCCAATCGTAGGGCCTGAAGAAGAGAGTGCTGTGCGGAGAACGGGAGCTGACTGAATAGGAAGTGGGGCAAAAAGCCATGACCATCAGCTCCACCTGCCATCGCAGTGAAAACAATCATTCCACTGACCACGGGCCAATTACACCTGCTTTAAAGACCAAGGACATCCAAACGGCTAACAGCAATAACCCTGGGATGGAGGAAAGGAGAGCAGGAGGCAGAGAGAGCTCTGCTGTCTATTTCACACTCAACCATCATTTGGAGCCTTCATAAGCATGCCTTGCATTTATAATATTTAAAATAAAAGCTAAAATGCACATATACATGCTATGAGCTAAGCATATGATAAGAGCAGAGACCACAGAGGGAAGAATGGATGGACCGAACTTCATAAAACGGAAAAACTGTTGTTTTACCTATTTGTAAATTTGTAAAAAATTTACAAATTTGAAAAAAAAAAAAAAAAAGAAATAACCTTAAACTATATTAGGAAGGGGAAAAATTTACAACAGTCGTGACATAAATATTTACTATCCTTAACATATAAAAAGCACTTAGGGAAAAACTACACTCCAATAGAAAAATGAGCAAAAGACATAAATAAGCAATTCATGGAAGAACTACAAACGGTCACTGAACATAAAATATTCACCCTCACTAATAATCGAGGACACACAACGAAAGTCAGATAACATTTTTGTCTGTCAAACTCGCAAATATGTTTCAAATTTTTTTATAATACTTGTTGGTAAGAGTGTCATCAGGTAAACCACCTCATACACTGTTCATAGGAGGGTAAATTGGTAAAACCTTTTGGGGGGGCAATATGGCAAAACCTATAAATAACTTTAAAATATGCATAAACTTTGAAATGGCAATTCCACTTCGAAGCATTTATCCCTAAGGAAAATCATCATGGTTAAAGATACATGCATTTGGATGTCCAGTGAAGCATTGTTTATAAAAGCAAAAAGTTGGAAATAGCCTCACTGTCCAAACAATGAAGGACTGGTTTAATATATTATGGCATTATACACAGGGAACAACTGTGCGGCGATTAAAATGATGATAGAGAAAGTATGAAACGACATGGAAATCTTCGTGATACATTAAGTGAAAAACACTGGTCACAAATAGTTCGCACAGTACGAACCCACTTACACAAATAAATACAGGTATGCATCTGCAGTGAATTTTTAAATATCTGATTATAGGCTACTTTAATTTTCTCCTCTATGTTTTTCTGCCTTTTTTGTAATTAAACATCTGTATTTTTTTAGTAAAAAAAATACCAGTCCAGAAACACATCCAGGAATCATTTTCAAGTAACCAATCAAGGAGCAAACAACTTTAAATCAACAAGTTAAGAACCAAAGACATATCAAATAAGATAAAGTAGTATCAATTGTTCCAAATAACCCCTCCAATTAATCTTCCATGCCTTTTTTTGTGAGACCACAGAATCTGAGCCCATAGAGATGAGGTCATTGCATTGCAAAACTTGCTGGACCGGGACCACATTCTAAAATCATAACCTACTCTTACCCACAGCAAAGAAGAAGAGAAGCTTGCTCCCTTGTTTTCCTAGAAGAAAACAATCGCATCTTTAAAACTCACGGTGGAAAGGCTGAAGCCAGACTTCCCAGGGGGCTGGGACAGGACGGTTTGGTTCTCAACGACATTGCTTTGCGCCAGTGTGAAATTCAGATTTTCAAAGAAGGAAAGGAGAATACTTGAAGAGAAAATGCTATTTGCAAGCTGCCAGATACTGATGTGCAATGCTAAGAAAAAGAGACAAAAATAACAAACAGGGAAAACCAGAGCTCCTCAGTGCCCTGCGTAGCGCTTCTGGGGCTCGAACACACGCGCGCCTGGCACATGGTAGCTGCTCAGGAAATCCCGGCTGAATAAGATTGGCGGGGCATTTCACTGGGCTTCTCCCACAACTCCTATTCGACCACACATCCTTAACTAGAAATATTTCCCCTCTCAGTGGAAGCGAGCACAAAGCATTTAGGCCACAGGACTAAGACTCAGGACAATACAACATCTCAATTTAGGGGAAAGTGAGACACACGAGAAAACAGGGCACTGATGGATCAATTCACTAATACCTCCTCTCCGCACTGTCTCAGAGGAGAGCCTCCCAGGCAGGCGCTAACCTCCAGATACTACGAAGCACAACTGGCAAATCCATTAATTACTTCTTGTCAGACACGTCCACGTGCTGGTAAGAAGGCCTCCTGGGTTCATTCAAGTCCTTTGGGCAAGTTAGGAAGACAAGGTTTGACTCATGTGAATTTCTATGATAATCTAATGAATGACTGTCCACACACCAGAATTATGTCTCCTATTATTGTATTATTGACCCTTCCCAGGACCCAGACAGTAGCCCCTCTTGACCTTGGACCTAACACGTAGGGAGAATTTCATTTCTAACATACCATTTTTTAACTGAATAATGGGAGTGTAAAAGAAACTTATCATCACTGGGGATTTTCTTTCCACTGTTTTTGCATTTCCTACCAACTAAATCACAGACTGTTCAGATGGCTGATGCGCACAGTGCACCATGTCGCTTGGAAATGACCCGCAGCTGAGCCTCTCTTAACCATAATTCTCACAGAAGGGGGTATTCCGTTTTCTTTTAGAGACCTGCTTGGCAGAAAGCTAAAGAGAAAATTTCCTGAGGGAAAGTTTTCGTACACGAGGCGGGTTCTAGAAGGTCTTTAGAGGGATCAGATGAAAGTCTGTCCAGTGTGAAGATCCTAAGACACTATAGCCAGCAAGGGTTTGCTAAAGGGGACTATGCCAGTGTATCAGGGTTTTCAGTCCTGAGAAAAAGTATAAAGGAAAAGGACAGAGAAAGGCCTTATGGCCGGAGCAGGGGGAGGAACGGAAAATCAGACAGACGTCGGAAAGTCAAAAACTAATCCACGTCACTCTGTGCCAAATCAGGACGCCCATATTTAATGATCAGACTGGTTTGGTAAGCAACAATCACAGAGAGCAAATTGTTTAAAAGCCACTTTACTAAAAGAATATGGTTTGTTGTATAAATGTTCTTTGTCAAATACACGATGCTTGCCATTTTTGGCTGGAAATCTGGTTTATACTATTTATACAGAGATTTATGTAACCCGTAGATGACTTTTGTATATATTTGTGTGCACCCGCTCACCCTCTTTTCGCATATGGTCAGCACTGAATATATGTTTGCTGCAGAAAGAGATAAATGAATGGCTGCCTTTGGAAAGCAAACATTTCCAAACATTTGGCCACAAAACTGGGAGAAATGCTGAAGATCTGATAGGATATGAACCTGATCCACTCTCACACAACCTGAAGGATCCCATCTGGAAATCTCCCCTCTGAAGACAAGAAAATATGTAAACAAAGGAAAAAAAGAAGTGGACCCACTGGCGAGTTTAGCAAGTTGCGAATCGTGTTCATTTTCTTCTAGCTCACATCCAGGAGGGTCAAGTTCTGTCCCTGGCCCTCTTCCCATGCCCCCGCCACACTCCCCGCCTCCGTGGAGGGCCAGAGGAGAAGGGTCAGCCCTTAACTGGGCAAGCCAAGCCCAGGACTGCAGCAGTCCAGGGCTGGGCCATAGAATACAGCCAACGACTGTTCTCTACCCAATTCTCATCCCATCTCAGGGACGAGACCCCAAATCCACGGAGGGTTGGTGGAAGGACATGTGGCAGTCCACACTGCCTTGAGCTGGATTCCCTGAAGGTGGCAAGCGGGCTCAGCACCGGACAGAGGCAAGATCATTTTAGGTGGGGCTCAGTTGAATATTTATTGTTCAAGT